TAGAACAAAATGCGTCATATATGATTACAAAATAAAACACACGTTTATTAAAAGATTTAAATAGACCAGACATGTATTTACCAAAACATACTTACAAGAGGAAGCAATCAAAGAAGCGAAACTAATATTTAACAAAAACAGTTATGCCTGGTATGTAAAATGTTGGATTCTTTTGCGTTTATAATGCATCACCGAGGAGATTGATGTTGAAAGCAAACATACTCGTTAGCTTGATATTCTAATATTTTTAGCAAATAACTTTATTATTTCAAAATGGAAAGAAAAGTATTTCAAATGGAATAAGATGTTATATAAGTTGCAGCAATTCAGAAAAAGAAAGGCGGCTGGGTAGGTTGCTTATAACGTTTGAAGAGAAAGCGCTAGAGACATGCGGTTTTCATCGTTGGATAGAGAACATCGGGGGACGTAAGCGCAAAAACTAGGCTACGGATAAGGTTTACTATGGTAAGCCTTTGGGTTCAAAGTCTATGAGACCGCCGTTCCTGGACCGTACGATGGATTTTGATTTTCGAACTATGCAATCGATAGCCCGAATAGAGATCTACAATTCTAGACCGGTTAACTCTCTATCTCTCACAATTCAGGAGCTATAAGCAGATCCTCAATTTCGGCCAGTTTACCTTGAGTGAGTTTAGGAGAAATCGGTCATGCTGAGTCGAGTGATCATGTTTATTTTCGGCTTCAAATCAATCTAAAGTTACTATATCAACATTTTCAAATTAAAGCGTTATACCGCAACATTGCGTGTAGAAAGATATCTCAAAATCTTGATATAGTGACTTTCGATCGGTTTGAAACTGAAAATAAACATGATCACTCGACTAGGCATGGCCGATTTCCCCTAAACTTGATCCATTTAGGATCACTCAAGGTAAACTGGCCGAAATTGAGGATCTGCTTATAGCTCCTGAATTGTGAGAGATAGAGAGTTAACCGGTCTGGAATTGTAGATCTCTGTTCGGTCTATCGATTGCATAGTTCGAAAATTAAAATCCATCGTACGATCCAGGAACGACGATCTCTTAGACTTTGCAACGAAAGGCTTATAAGCAACTTACCCAGCCGTCCTTCTTTTTTTAAACGGTAATACTTCTGATTCGTTTTTCTCCCATACTACCGGGTGTGCCAAAATGATTGCAATATTCTTTATTTTGCATAAATCTCAGTCCAGAATTTTAGAGCATAAAAAGGTTTAGTTATATGTTTATTATCAGAAGTTTTGTTGGAATGACGTGATATTTTGTCATATGCTTAACTGTGGCTAAATCTGAGGCAGAAAGTTAATTTTATTGAAAAATCGGAAAAAAATACCAGTTTGTTATACTTTACTATTTTTTATATTTATTCATCATCATCATCATCTTCTGGTATGTCGATCAATTTTAATTCATGTTCATGTCCTTTGTCTTTGCATGATTGACACAAATCATAATTACCACATGTACTACAATAATATCTCAGTCCTATTAACGGATCCATTTTACATCCATCACAGGTAACGGTACCCCAATTATGTTCTTCTGGTTTTATTGGTTCATGTTTTACCGATTCACCATGTGACCACGCTTCAATCGCTCTCAATTTACTTCGTCCAATATCACGTCGACCCTTTTTTGTCAATGTTTCACCTGATGGTTTTATAATAATCAAAGATGGAATGCCTTCTATGTTGTAATAAGCTGCCAAACGATTTTTAATAGTACGATTTTCATAGGGCAGTGCTTTCCATGGCATTTCATTGAAATAATTTTCAAAAGATTCTTTATCCTCATCACTAGACACAAAAATAATGTCAAATGCCAAATTTGCATCAATAGCTTCATTGTACAGTTTGGTCAATTCAGGTGTAAAATAACGGCAAGGTGGACACCAATGAGCAGAAAAATACAAACCCAAATATTTATTTTTCAACGAGTCTAATGTCACTTTTTGATTGTTTTTATCTAATAACAATATTTGATCATTACCATCACCACTCAATAATTCTTTTAAAGAATATTTCTCTGACGGTATCAAATATTTGATCAAATCATGTTCATGTACTGTTTTTTGTTTACAGTCATGACATATGTCATAATTTTCACATTGTGAAACGCATACATATCGATCACCAATAATCGGTTTCATATTACAATTTTCACATGCAATATCTTCCCATGTATATTCACTAGGTTGAGCAGCACGTGACCAAAAAATGGATTGACCTTTTGCCCATTTACCAATAGCATCACTACCTTTTAGTGTTAATTCAGCTACACCATCTGTTGTGAGAATTGTACCATTCGGTTTTAAAATGATTAGCGATGGAATACCTTCTATCTCATATTTTTCTCCCAATTTTTCAGCTAGATTACGATCTAAATTTAAATTAATTTGTAGAAATTGTTAATAAAAATGGATATTTAGATATTACCTTCAAACGGTATAGCTTTCCATGGCATTTCCTTGTAATATTCATCGAATGATGATTGATCTTCATCACTTGATACAAAAACAATATCAAATGATGTATCTGCTGTTGCTTGCTTATATGCTGCAGCCAATTTTGGTGTAAAACCGGCGCATGGTGGACACCAATGAGCACTAAAGTATTTAAATAAAAAACAAACATTTTTCGTAATATTAATAGATCTCACTTACGAGAAATACAATCCAACGTATTTATCCTTCAGTTGATTTGAATCGTATGTAGAATCTATTGTACCATTTAATAATTTTGTACCGAGTAACTCAACGGTAGAAACCATTTTCTTCTATGTATGTACTGTTTTTCTCGTGTTCTTTTCTGCTGATGTCTTATATATAAAGAATGTAAACTAAAGACGATGACATAAGATGAATAATAATAGTTGCGTACGCCCGCCATGATGAACAGCAGTAACACCTAAATTTTTTCTTTCTTTCCATCGATAGTAGTTACTATAGAAGACTGATTCATTGGTGTTTCTGTCGTTTCTTTTTCACGATGAATTATAAAAATTACAAAATAACACCCTTACACGGCAAACATGATTAAATGCATAGAAAATAACATTATGTGAACATTTCTTTCTTCAAACATTATACACATGAATAAAACTTTTATCAGTTCTTCTTATATTGAAAAGAAAAAGGCAGAATCAAGAGGCATTTACATACGCTCGTCATATCATATTAGAGTTGTGTTGAAACTCGTACCATTGCTCTGTGATTAAAGACAAAAAAATTATCTAGGTGAATATTTCTATTATAAACTCTTACTTTATCTGAAATTATATCATAACTTCATATATATTTTTTCATTCTGTCTGCCATACTGTCAAGACTGGCAATCGGTTAGCTTTTTGTGAACTTTTAAAAACTGAATAGAAAAATAGTGTTTGATCAATTTCAAAGTTAAAAACCTGTCGAGCATGGACATTCTAAACTAGCTCTGTAAAATGTACGCATGCCATTTTGTAAACCTATGTAGTTTTCTGTGGTAATGGTTGAAGCCGTTATTTGCACGTCAATTTGCTCAGCTTTAAAAGTACGCTTCACTTTTTTTTTAATGGTGTTTTGTTGCTGAAAAAGTTCATTTTTTCTAAACCAGAGGCGAAAAACTCGGAATTCAGCTCATAATTCTCATTTTTCTCTCTCAAAATTCAACTTTTAAGCAATAAAAATATCATATTCGAAATCACGATAAAATACTGAGTCGATTAATCTATACTTCGATTTTTAGCTGATTTTCTATTTGTTTTTTTCTATATTCGTATAATATACCATTCGATTTTGCTTTGTCCGGAGATCAAGAATATTATCTTATTTTTACAAAAGGACGTAATGGAAATGAGAAGAATCAATTTTAAGATCAAACGATCAATACGAAGCTTTTCAATGTTGAATTTTTTTTTATTAACACAGCCGGTCTCGAAGACTCAAATTGTGTTGCTAGATAGAGTTGAGCATTAGGCAATTTTTGACAAAGTTTGAGAGTGATACTGTATTTCTTCATATGTTTTTCTCGATCGATAAAAAAAATCCATCCAAATGCGTTTAAAATAGTAAATAAGATGGAGACACGTCTAAATTATCTTTAGTTTGTGGAACAGTATTGCATGAGCACGTCTAGACGCGTTAAAGACATTTCTCATTATCAAAGAACCGTCTAGATGCAACTATTTTTGAGAACCAATTATATGTGCGTCTGAGCACGCCCTCTATTTAATCAGATTCTCTAACGAGGGGACATTCCCAGTTGTCCAATCCCTATTTCTTTCAAACATACATCAATCGATAGTCTATACTGAGATAGTAAAAAGCCTAAAAGGATTTATCCCCATGGCTCTTGAAGACCCAGTTGTCCAGAAACTCTAAAACAGCCACCAAAACGTTTCTCAGTAAGGCATGATTGTGGCCCTCACATTTCTGATTAAAATGAGACGTCTCCCAGCTCTACACGACCTTTCTTTGCAAAGTCATAGAATTTACAAGAAAAGCCCTAAATTGATTTCGTCTTATTTCTGTAGCTTTGAGCTGACAGTGAACATTTAGGGCTAAATTTTATGACTTTGCGAAGAAAGGTAGTGTAGAGCTGGGAGACGTCTCATCTTAATCAAAAATTTCCGGGCTACAATCATGCCTTATTGAGAAACGTTTTGGTTAGTCTTTTAGGGTTTCTGGAAAACTTCCAGAAAACCAGACCTTCTAGAGCCATAGGGATAAAGCCTTTTAGGCTTTTTACTATCTCGGCATAGGCTACCGATTGATGTATGTTTGAAAGAAATAGGAGTTGGACAGCGGGGAATGTTCCCTCGTAAGTGCGTTTGAACACGTCTTAGAATCAGGGACCATTTGCGCACGTCTTTCATTCAATCGAACGACACGATGCGCCCGAACACACTTTGCTCTCATTAAGATAGAAAAAAGCTCGTTTAGAAGCGTTTGTTTTTGATTCGAAAAACGCGTTCGGGCACGACGTTTTTGGAAAAATTAAGGAAAACTGCGTCTGCATGTTCATTTCTATCGAAAATTTTTCCAGTGAATAAAGAATTAAAAAGAAACTCATATTAGTATAGTGAGCAAAAAAGAAAGTTCGAAATAACAACGGCAAAACATACAAAAATTCATGTCGTTACACCCGTATGTCCCTTCTAAGGGACATAATGTATCCACATAGCAAAGCAACATCATTTCAGTCCAGACATAACAAGGGTGTACCGAAGAACTGTAAGCTCCAATGCAGTAGTTTCAGAGCTATAATAAAAGTGCCTTCGGGTGTAAAGGGTTAAGCCGAAAATTTAACCAGCGGTTGAGTATATTTGCTTAGACTGTTGTTTATCGAGCAATCATTGTCATTTTGAACAGCAATCAAATCAACAGTCTTCTTTCAGTTACGTACAATTTGTAAACCAACGAATATCAAATATCCAGGAAACATTAGTAAACCAACCGTCATAAGCGTTAAATCGAAAACAACATTACCTAAATCAGCTAATTAATCCGTATCAATCAATATCCAAAGTATCTGGCAACTTTTGCGTCAACTCTGAATGCGTTATCCAATCCATTTCGGTTACGCACAGAATTTTTGTTTCTGTGTAGGAAACAGTAGCATTACTTGTTTGTTCACTCAACCGTATACAAATACCAAAGTGAATAAGAAGAGAAACAGTGTACCTTTCTATCCCTTTTCTTAAAATCAGTAAATTAGGTGCTTATGCTGTAGACGTACGGTCGGAAATAGGGGTATGACAGCTCCATATCAACTCCTATCATAGGAACTGTTGAAAAGTTCTTTTGAAAGGAGCTGATATGTTTGAACAGCTCTTTGAAAGGAGCTGATATGTTCGAGCAGCTCACTAGTCGTCTAGAATGGCGCAAATGTATGACCGTTCTTCTCCAGTGCTTCGAGTTGAGCAAGCTCTTGCTTCAGCGTGAAAGCTTTAGCAGTAGTCGTTGAAAAATTTCAAAAAATTTCAAAAGAGCTGTTCAACAGTTCTTTCGCTCAAATGAGCTGAACTTATGAGCTGGAACTGTTACAGGTCTAGTCGGAAAGCAAAACAGTGAATAAAAATAATATTTCACCATCATTGGAAAGCTGATGTTTTGGAAACAAATTTTTAAATGCTTTAAATAAGGTAAATCAATTTTTTCCCGTTTGTCATATTCATCCGAACCATCATCGATCGTCACATTTAGGCTTTGTATATTTGGCATTTTTCTTGCTAATTCAAATAGATTAGAAACTGAATTGAGTTGCACTATTAAATCGTAACGCGGGTTCTTGTTTGAAGAGTAATACGAGGAATTGTGAAATGACCACTTTGTTAATCCGTCTCTACAGAAAATGTGCTCAGGAAGGTCTCCGAGATCTATGTCTTTACAATCGATTTCTAATTCTGAGAGATATAGTAGACTTTTAATTCTCGATAATATATTACGTGTAAATAGTTGCTTGCCACCATCATCTTTTAACGATGAGAAAACAATGATCAAATGCCGTACATTAGGGAACATTTCTACGAAATTTATATATTCAGAAAATGCCAGATAGATATCGTTTAGAGTTAATGATTCGACATCAGTGCCGCCTACAAACGTCGACCAAAGATACGTACGTTCGTATCGTACTATTGTTAAATCGTTGTCAAATAGTTTAATGGAACGTCTATATTTACTTATTGTTCTGTGAAGACGACAGTTGAGATTTTGAAAAGAATAGAGAACATCGTGTTTTTTCAGATATAAGCATATCATTAGTAGAATTTCATCGGGTAAGTATTCCAATCGTGACATTTTATAACAATAAATTAAAACAAATTAGGTGTGACCTAATTATAATATACCTAATTATAAGAAAAAAAGAAGAAAAAAGCAAAATGCTTCAAATCACACGAGGCTGCACACAACAGAATGCGCTTTTTTCATCATACATGTGGTTATTGCACAATTACAGAATTGTGCAATAACTACATGAACTCGGGGTTGGTTCTCGGTGAGTCAGGTGTATACTTCTAAGAAGTAAGATTTTTGATAATCCGGTCAGAACTAAGTACCGAATAATTTAAAATTTCAAATGGGGGCAACAGCAAAAGCCCAGTCTATTCTGCACACAATATACTTAGTCTTTTAATGATCACCTGTAAGAAACACTTCAGAGCACGTTTTTTTAGACAGTTTTATTTTTTAATATTTTGTCCGAAAAGCAACAAACAGTGTGGCCTTAAACTAAGACCATTAAAGCTAACTGCATTATAACACTTCTTTTCTCCTTCAATAATATCTGTATTCGTGCAAGGTGGGGAGGGGGCAGTGTAAGAGTGAGTTCTAAAAGCAGTTTTACACAAAACATATTTTCATGATGCGAAACTGTATATCTGTAACTGTATCACATAATGACCCCGTAACTATTTTTTCAGATTCTTCAACGTGCATTTTGGGGCTGTTTGAAAAATCAACAGTACTCACTCAAAAATGACCGAATCAGGCTCATCGCTGGGTCATAACGCTTTAAGCGTTTCCCTCAAAATGACCTATATCACTTCTCAATTTGACACATCAACAACGATTCTTTAGAATAGAGCACTCGTTGTCTCAACACTCAATAAACAACGTTGAACAATTTATCGCGATGAAGCGAAACATGCGCCTGCAGGTGAACAATAGTCGTCTTCTTCGCTTCTCGTTGGTTTGTCCGATGAATTAGACGAATGAACAATGCCATCGGTGTATGCGCTCACGAGAAATGAGCCATTCGATTGACAGAATCGTCTGTTTCTAACCAGAGCTGATCACCTGCATAATTTTTCACCCCTGCACGGTAGCGCGCAGGGGCAAAATAAAATTTACTCGCGTTGCAGTTTCCAGGTTAGCAAAAAATCTTTTATTCTGCACAGGCAGAGGTTGAGGGTGAAAACTTCTGCACTGCCCTACTCTGCAGGTTGATTGCAGGTGGACCCTAAGGCGACGTATAACAATTTTTTTTCCTACTGACCACTATCAGTTTGTATTACACACTGATAACTACAGACTGTATCACCAGTTATGCTTCACTATCCTTGTTCTAGATTTTTCTCTTTCTGTTATCGTTATAGCCTTTTGTCATCTTCTATATACTAGAGTAGGGTGGGATAATTAGAACAGTATTTTTTTAAATCTCCGTATTTTCGTTCTCTCTCGGTTAGCTTAAGAAATTTTTGGGTAGTTCCTCGGCAGGAGTTGTAGAAGTGGTAATTTTCTGTCGAATGGTCATTTTCATTTTTCTAAATTCCATTTCCTTCAGGATCAGGAGCTGCGGCTGACCGATCTCGACTGTTCTAATTCCCCACATGCGGGGAATTAGAGCAGTACGTGTAAAATACACGGGATTTTTTAATAAAAGTAATTTTAATTTTAATCTCTATTTTAAAATATTTTTGCACACATCCGAAAAAAGGG